ATATTATACTACTATACAATGTATATATAATGAATAATAATTAATAGTATATACCAGATACCTACTACTTATTATATTCGTTATGATGGACTGAATTTGTGATTAATTTTTTAAAAATTAACTTGTTTGTAACGCCTAACTTTTTGAATGAAAAAGTAACGTAACGTGATAAAAATAATGTCGGGTAACTCGAATGTAATTTAAATAAAAATATTTAATGTAATGAGCAACATAATTGTATTACTTATCAAAAGTAATTTACCCTTTTTTTAACTTAGTTGTTAGCTCGTAGTTCTGATGATCTTAAGGGTAGGGGGAGTCCGACCTAGACTAACAGCGGTATTTATATAGTCACGATCGCATCTATAAAATTATTATATAGGAGAAAAACCAAGTTCCGAGGAAAGGAAATTACTATTTAGACTAGTTTCAACAACTATAATATAGTATATAATTATATAAATATAATATATTATATAATAACCTAAAGTAAATTATGGTTCATTAATCCTCAGTAAATCTAACTTCATACACATCCCTGGTCCCTCCTAACATTTAGAAATAAACCATCTATGCGGCACCTGATGTAAAATCCTAGGACCGCCTATTCCACGGTCGCGTAAATATTTTACGCCACCGAAAAACCGGCCAGTGATAAATCAATAGTATTTATAAGGTATGGGTACCAGTTATAAATAATTAAGTATGAGTTTATTATTTGTGATGCCACTCGTTTTATCATTCGAGATTGTTTGCAAACATATTAATATATTACTAAAATTTACGACGTACCTTTGCACACAAAACTATGAACAATGAAAACCAGTTTGTAGGCACAGTTTTGAGTGTACACTGTATACAGGGTACACCACTATGATTGTATTTGGCGGGATCATTAATTTAAAATTTTTTAGTGTTTACTAAGAATCAAAACCGTGATTTTTTTCAAATTCGAACGCCGTAACCGAAACTGAAACCAAAATCTTTTTAACACCGGTAAATAAACCGTAACTGAAACCTAAAATCTTAAAAAAAAAACCGTTTACAAAACCTAATCCTTTCCATCGAATTTTAGGAAGTTAATTACCCATATTATTTATAATTCTAGATAAAACGAGTATTTTTATGCGAAGAAAATATTTTGTTGAATCCTTATGCTATTACTGATTATTACGAAATATTAATAGATAATACCATTGATTATAAATACTATTATTTATAATCAATGATAATACGATTATTATTGTATTTATATTTTATAATATTATTACTATACTTACTGATCCAAAATTAAAATACAAATATCACAATTGTTATTTTGTTCGCCCCTATGCGGCTATGCACGTCTGTTTTGTTGTTACTTGATGTATTTGTGTATAATAATATAATTTATTACCTAATGTTATTAGTTATTACAATTGTTTCGTATTCGACTGGTCCGTCCCGCAGTTATGGATTGCTTTATGTCATTATCGTCATGTGTGTCGCCTGAATTACAAATGTGTGTAACAAATCTGAAATCTTATAACGTATTTTGAATCTTAAGTCTTAACAGTAAACCTTTTTCAATTATAATATTTTCTATAGTCCAATACACTTTTTTTAGTATCCATTGAAATTAATATTTTGTTCAAATATAAGCATTAATCACATAGGTTACAAAGGAATTATTAAACTGTAATATAGTGATGTTATTGTAAATTACTATTAAATATTAATGTAATCGAATAATAATCTCAACCGTATGTTGTATGCAAAGTAGGTACAACATAATATTAAAGTTAATAAGACGAAATTAGTTCGGTTGAACGTTAATTTGCCTTATTGAATCCTACACTAATAGTATATATACAAATCGGACATATTTTAGGGCTTTAGGCTCAGCCCTTAATAGTTGATAGATAATATAAATCAGGCCAATAGTTATTGGGTAAACTCATTCACCAGTCTCTAAAATATCTAAATTTTCATACCACACATGGTCCCAAATCGGTCAAATCTAAATTATTTCTAGATAAACACTAGTATACTATATAGTATATACGACCGTTCACCACTAAACTGATAATAATAAAAATAGCTACTCTTAACAACAATGAATAGTTTATAATAATAACTAGAATAAGAGTATAAGACGTAACAACACAAAATATTGTTTACTGTATATTTGTGTAGAATGTAGATAATAATTAAAATGTGGTTTGACAAAAAACCATTAAAATATAAAAAAAAATGTGAAGATATAACATTATACGTAATATTATTATAAAGGTTTAATTAGAATAACACACTTTTCGTACTACACAAAGTTTGTCGTAGTACACGTAATTTTAGGGACTAAGGTAAAGGAAAAATATCATACTTTGAAAAAACCGTTCCAAAAACCAGAACCGAAAATTTTCAAAGACCGTTTTTGATACCGATAAATTTGAAAAACCATTTTTTAAACCGAAACCTAAACCAAAAAATTTGAAAAACCTATCTTAAAACCTAAACCAAAATCAGAAAATATAGAAAACCGTTCTCAAAAATGTCATATAAAAGTAAATTATTAAAATTAACTATTAAGGAAAAAAAATGTATAGGTATACTTTTATGGAGTGTCACCAATGAGTGACTTCCCCCTCCCTTAAATAATCCTCATCAAATTTACTCATTGTAATATAATATATTGTAATTACATATTGTATATACAATTTTGTTGAATAAAAAAAAAAAAAGGTATACTTTTATTATTGGAAAAGTATCAACCAATGAGTAATGTAATATTTCATAAGATTTTAAATAAATTGATACCCATCTAAATTTTCATATTTTAGTATAATCAACTGGATGTCCTGCCTTGAAAATTGGGTGTTTGGGTAAGCGGGTAAAATAATAGAGTAAACTTTCGAGTTTTTCTGCTATAATTTTATTAAACACAGGAATATCATTAAATTATTTATATAATATGTAATAAGTTAAGCCTGTTTCACAGTTGTTTAGTGGGCTTTTAAATATGAAGGGGTGTGTGAGTGAATTAAACTATATGAACTGCCAATTTTAATTTCATTCGGTGCCCCTACATAAAGGTATACCTGATTTTAGCGTATGTTGTGATGTTTTGGTGTTTGGAAAATTTGAAACTTTAAATTCGACAATTCAATGTTTGTTTACTTAATATACTATTGGGGGTATAATGACAAATATCGTATGTACCTACACTGTATTGAATCAATAATCCCATATTCTAAATATTATGTACTAATCACTTAAATAGGCATGTAATGGTAATTTATTCGTTAAGAAGCCATATTGAGATCAAATCTGCAGTGACACTATATCTGTAATCACTACAGTGTAATATATTTAATGTGGGGCAAACTTTTTGATTTGGTTTTTAATAGTTTTTGTGTGAGTAGATTTTTTTACTTTATTAAAACGTTAAGTTTTATGTTATATTAAATTACATAAAGGTCCTAATGGGTTTTTTATTAAAGAATTTTTCAACCTATAGGTGATGGTTTAAAGTTATTTTTTAAAAAGTTAATTATACTATAAATATAAATTTTTTTATTTTTATAATTTCTCCTTCATTGGGTTTATTAATTTCTGTGGGTTTTTGATTTATTTATCCTTATATTGGTATAAATTATATTATGGATTTTGACTTTTGGTTTAGTTTATATATTTTGTTGTTCAAGTTTTATAGTTTATATTTTTTTAATAATTAGATGGTTTCAAATTCTAATTATTCAGTTTTGGGTATAATTCGTTTTATTTCTCAAATAATTTCTTATGAAGTAAGAAAAACAATTATTATGAATTTAATAGTTTTAATTTAAATGATTTTCATATTTATCAGATAAATTCTAAATTTTTTTTTTTTAATATTTATTTTATTATTAATTTGATTTTTAGCTGAAATAAGTCGTTCTCCTTTTGATTTTTCCGAGGGAAAATCAGAATTAGTTTCTGGTTTTAATATTGAATTTAGAAGTTTATCTATTATTTTTATTTTTATGTCTGAATATATAAGAATTATATTTATAATAATATTATTATATGAAATATTTTTTGGTTTAATAAAATGAAATACATTTTATTTCAATATTTATATTTTAAGTTATTTGGTTACGTGGATTTTTACCACGTTTTCGTTATGATAAATTTATATGTATATGATATATTTAATTTGAAAATTAATTTTACCTATATCATTATTTTTATTTGTATTTAATTTTTCTATTAAATTATTTATCTTAAATCATTAATTTTAGTATTAAGTTAATAAAATTTAATTCTATTTTTTATTTTCAAAATAAATATTTTAAATAAATAAATTAACTAATTTTATTAAATTAATAATTTAGCTCATATTTTCATAAAATAAAAATTAATAAAAAAAAATGAAAAGTAAATTGTTGTAAAAATTTGACTTGTTGAAATAAAAGGATATTCAACTTGTTGTATTCCAATTCAAGTTAATATTAAAAAAGTGGGTAAGTGGATGTCGCTTTGCTGTACAGTAGGTTACAAGTGGGTTCATTTCGGATATTAAATGTTAAATTTGAATTCAATGATATAATAATATCATTGTATAAGAAAAACGATTTTGAGCGAAAACGGTCAGTCAGTCTATGATATTACTAAGTATATTTGATGGTATTATTGTGAATAAAGTAATTTATATATTATAACCTATTTACGTGGAACCTTTTTAAATCCTTATAGCTATAAAAATTCATAATTTATTTCTTCAATAAAATAATGTTTAATTTTTTTTTTTTTTAGAAGTGTTCCAGCCAGCCTTATAGAGACAGATGATTCATTGACTTCATTGCACTATTCATGGTGTAATACTAGATTTTTAAATTTGTTTTAACAATAAAGGAGTTAAAACTATTTAAAAAAAGCCATCAAGAAATACAATTTTTAGTTATAAAAATAAAATTCTTAAGACTCCAAAAAAAATATATTGTTGACAAATTATCAACTGTTTTTCAAACAATTTGCTTGCAATGGATCGAGGGCGAAAGAAAAGGAAAACCGTTGATTTAATTAAACTGAAACATGAATATTGGGCAAACGTTTTTACTGGAGTAATTGATATTTTACGGAATACTGAAAAACTCAATGATGATAATATTATTACAATTAAGAATGTTGCTGATAAACACAAGTCACGTCTACTTATTGCTAGATATTCTAAATCTCTTGATACTCATGGTAAATTTCCTACACCTATTCTATTATCTGGACTTTATGAGAGATTAATTTCTTTAATTGCAAACGACGTTATAACTCAAACTAAAAAAGAACTAGAAAATGCTATGTATTTTTCAATGTCTATTGATTCTGTACCAGATACTGATGAATCGGCAATTTACATTCGGTATGTTGATGATAAAGGTATACCAAAGAAGCGTTTTCTGGATATTATAAATATACGAGGAGACGATTGTTTACAGTTAATTAATATACTCCATGTGACATTAGATAAATATAATTTAAGCCACAGTGGTTTTATGGGACTATCATATAATATTAATAGTAACATACCTAAACACAGAGCTAGCTTAAAGTCTTCCCTAAAATCAATAAACAAATTTGCTGAAATTGTGCCATGTTCTTCGGATCCTCTAAGTTTAGTTGTGATTAAAGCAGTATCTTCTTGCAATGAAGGCAGTGTATTTTTTACAACAATTGATGAACTATTTAATTTTTTTTTATTTTTTCAAAATCAGTGGGATGATGTCAAATTTTTGTTTAAAGATCTGTCTTATGATAAATTTTCATCAAAAAATAAAACACGTCAATGTCTTAACAAAAATTGGTCAACGATAGTATATGCATTGTTTCATATATCTAAAAACATAAGTTTTTCATACACAATTCGTCTAAACGCTTTTTTGGTTTTGCAAAAAGTAAAACGATTGGAAACATGTATCATAACAATGTTTTGGGAAGAAATTATTGGAAAAATTAAAGAACTAGAAAAGAATTTACAAAAATATGTATCTACAGAAATTAATTTCCTTAAGATTTTTGAGATTTACCAATCATTAATAAGCTATTTAAATGATTTTCGGACCAATGAAAAGTTTATGGATTATAAGACTTGTGCATTTGAAAAATCTAATATTCTACATTTCAATAATAGCTTTCATACCGAGAAACCACAAATGAGATTTCCTGTTGGTTATGTAGATGAAACCGATCAATTTAAAATTAATACTTACTTTTACATGATAGATGAGATACAAGCTGAATTACAATACAGAAAAGATATTTATTGGGATTTAACATCAAAATTCAACTTTTTAAATAATATCTCAACAATAACAGATGCTGAATTATACCTTGCACTTGAACATCTTCTATGTATATACTTAGAGTATATAGATTACCATATTTCTATCGAATGTGATCAATTAAAAAACAATTCGAATAATATAAAAAGAACCCTAACTTCTATTAGAGAAGTCAGTACTTTTATACCATCAAATAAAATCTTTTTTGAACAGCTTTCAAAAGTAATAAAAATGGCACTGTGCATTTCAGCTACTAATTGTAAGGTTGAACATTCCACCTTCTCAGTATTGGAAAAAGTTATAACTTCTTTGAAACCAATTACAAGTGAAGACACCTATAACTCATTATTAATCATAAATATGAATCATGAACTTCTCAAAAACTTAGACTTTAAAAATGTTATTAAAGACTTTGCTGGCAGCCAATCAACTGAATCATTGTAATTATTAAGATAAATTCATATATCTTTTATTATTAAGATTAATTCATAAATCTTTTATTATTAAGATTATTTTATAAATATTTATTATTAAGATTATTTCATAAAATCAGTGGTGTAGTCATAAATAATGTTTTCTATAATATACTCTCATATATTACGGCCCTAAGGTTGCTAACTCTCATAAATGTAAGATAATTTTTTTCATATACAAATCATACTTCCCATATTTAAATAAAGACATTTAACTAACATAATATATGGACTTTTAACAAATAAGCTTTTACATTAACTTTAAAGTGTTTTTAGACTTAGACCAAATTAAACAAATATAGGATGGTTGGCAATCCTAGACAGCCTTGCATATATTATCCTCCACTGCACCACTCCTTAAAATTATTAATTATAAATTGGATTGTATTTTACTGAATAAATATTATATACTATATATTAATTGTATCCTAAATATATTTGTGGTACCTACTTATTTAGAAACATAAATATTTTAAAGTTGTTGATATTTCCCCTTTCTTAATAAATTTAATTACCATTTAAAAATGTATTTTTTTCACTTTTTATCTACAGAAAAACATACAAGGTTCAATACACATACTATTTAATGGTATGTTTGTGTTTTATTTAAGCAACATGAAATATTTAAATATTGTTTACTTCCTTCAGTAAAAATAACCATTTTGATGATAACCTCAAATCTTTATAGTAACTGTACTTTCGAGCTTTTCGATTTGAAACTTCTCTTGAATGGTAATGCATTTTACAAACTAAATTTGGCTGTGACTTTTCATAGGTTTGCCATAACTTTTAAATATTAAAATTTAGTGACAAATTAAGTTTAGTTCCTCACATTAAGTCATATGAATATATGACTTTGACTCAGTGGCGTGTCCAGCGAGTAGGCCTGGTAGGTCCGGCCTACCTGATTTAGAACCCTTATAGTTAAAGACCGAATTTAATTGTGTTAAAAATATATCAAAAATGAATTAAAATTATGTCAAACTTGCAGTATAATTATGCTATAAAAAATACATAAAATATATAATTGTTAATTACTTATTTAAATAGCATGATAGACATTATCCAATTATAAAATGAAAAAATAGTATAAAAAAGTATTCAAAAATTTAAATATATTATTTTTCTGAATTAAAATTTATAATTATATACAAATGTAAATTGTATTGTCTGCTAGGTACTTAAAATATGTTTATATAACAAAAATTTACTTCAATGTCTTCACTTCTATATCAGTGCATATTAAAAATAATTTAAAAAATTTGGCATTATTTCTAAATTAACATTGTGATTTCCTCTCATAACCTCGGAGTAAGTTTCAATAATTTTATATCCTTCATTTTTTTATAAGATAATATAATATTTAAATTTATCTTCCCATTGGTACCTGGAATACGTTGGCCAATAAATTATAATTATTGATATATTAATAATATCAAGACACTATTGTATGGCCGCATCTAATACTATCTATAGAACGCTTCTGGCTTCTCTAATATTAGGAAAACCATAAAGTGAAAATTTACATCAAAGTTATATTCTTATTGTAAAATTACCTAAAGCTTAATAATTTGTATATATCATCACTTGAAGTATAAAAAATTTCAAAATTATTGAAAATTGCAAAAAATTTAAATATTATGAAGAATTAATTAGTCTGATTCGTGTACATAATTGAACAGATTTTATTTACATGATATAAATATAAGTTGCAAAATCTATTGAATTTGGTCTTTACTTATAATATAGGGAATTCAAAATAAGATTTTCTGCCAAAATAATACACAAAATGGTGACTCAAGGAAGTACTCCTAATATTACAAATATACAATATACGATTGGGATATTAAATTTTAAAAAGTTCTTAGTTTTTCATTATTTAGTAATATTAAAATAATATTCTAATAGTAGGTTATATTACCATGGATATTGGATTAATAATTATGAATATTACACACAATTTGAATCTGTTATTTTAATGGTTTATTTAAATAAATTATAACTAAAAAGCATTAAGTATAAATGAAATGTTTAATTACCTTAAGTGAAATTTAGGATCAAGATGTGTGGTAGAAGTAGAGGAAGTAGTAAAAATTGTAAAATATGCAGGTTCGTAGTTTTCAACTAAGCCCAACATCCTTATTTTATTATGTAAACTAATGTCATCGTCCCTAAAATGAATTCAGTATTCGGGCAACAATGCCCTAGATATAAGTTAATTCAATTTTGTACTATATATAATATTAACATTCATAATTTTAACAGTTATAAAATGTATAAAAAATTTAAAAATATATCAATAATGTTTTGTTTCAATAATCTTTACTCGCTCACTATATTTAGATATATTTTTTTTCTCTCCTTTTGTGTTATAACTAGGACTCTGAAGTTAATGACCTAAAAAGAATTCAAATGACAAAAAATTACAAATATTTGTTTTAAATTAATAAAAATACATTTTTTTTTAATATTCTACTCTATTTTACCTAAAAATGTCAAAAAATTACTTAAAAAGTAATAAATACCAAATCAAAATTAGTTGTTCAGATTTACATGCTAATAAAACACATTTGTGGCCAGGGGAAAATCGTCTGAAAAGTTCCAAAACAAATGTAAAATGCATCAACTTCCGAGCCCTAGTTACCTATAAATATTGTGAAGACGTTAAATATTGTTATAATCTATGTTGTTCTTATTAATTTTCTAACTTATTCTGTTTTTAATTTTCTTAATCACTTATAACGACTCTTAAACGATAATACAAATCTGTATCACAAACTCTCTTTTCAACACAAGCTCCGCTTTTGAAAAGGGAACCAATGTATATATTTTAATGTATAATCTTGTTTCATATAATATGTTACTACAATTTTATTTGGTGTCAATAAATCTATTATATTATTATTAATATTAAACTAATTAATGTGTATACACTTTTATAATAATAAACCATATATATATAAAAATTGTGTCAATAATGTATCTTATTCATCAATTGAGAACGGCTGGGCCGATTTGGCTGATTATTTTTTTATTGTGTTTTTAATTGTGAGGACAAGGTTCTTATAAAAGAAAATTTTAGGAAAATCCACCAGAAAAGTATGAAATCTGGATGTAAAAATTACAACAGTGGCACCATTTGTCCAGAAAAAATTGTTGCAAATTAAAAAAATAATAGTGTATTATAAATTATTATATATATTGGTTGCTTGTAGTTATTGGTTAATCGTGCATATTTGTTTATTTGTATTATTATTTTTTGGTTATATAATATATATATGAAAATGAAAGTTTGTGTGTAGATTAGACCTTTGGGAAGAAGATAGGCTAATTAAAAAAAGGGTTACATTTTTTTTCCTCATTGGATTTTAGTACGGTTATGTTGGGTTAGGATTTTGTATTAATTGATTATATCAATCCATCGTAGGTGGAATTAAGTAAAAACGACAACTTGGTATAACTTTGATACTTTGAGTATAACTTTGAGTTAAATCATACACTTACCTACAAACAGCACGGGGTCCGCGTATTGTCATTTGTTAATATTCTGCTGTGAATCAGAATTTTTAAGAACAGAAAAGTTAAGAAAAGTTTTGAACAACATACACCGAATATTAAACAACAAATTGAACAAAGTTTGAGTCAAATAGAGTTGGTACATTTAACGGACAACAAAGTGCACGGTATCAGCTAGTTAATTATATATATTATTTATTATTGTATATTTTTTCGTTCAGGTCATATTATTCTATATCGAATAAAAAGTACTATAGGAAATAGGATCTGTTTATATCCATTATGTTTGGAAACAAGTTCTTTAACAAGTAATCCCCACAAAATGAATGTTTCTATTGAATTGCCAGATCTAGTTAAAATTATATTGGTTGAATTTATTTGCTCAAGGCCGAAGCAAGTGGCTGCTGTAAGCATATATCAGCAATTCTTATTCAATGTACTAGATATTCATTAAACACATTAATAACCAAAAATAATCAAGTGAAAAATATTTTATATTTAATTTAGATATTTTGAAAAATCTTACTAGTACTTATAATTTATTAACTAGTGTTTATATATTTATTTAATTAATTAATTAATTAATTAGGGAAAATGTGTTAAAATTTGAGAAAATAGAATCTACAAATATAAAATGCGTCGTTTGGTCATCAAGGAAAGAAATGGCATTCCAAAATTAACAAACATAAGTCTTTAATAGAAACCGATTGCATTAAAGCTCATAACTTAAATTTTCCATCAACATTATCTGAAATAGATATTTTAAAAACTTAAATAGACGTTATTCCAAACAGTGCTTCAGTAAAACACAGGTGGACACAACATAAGTAATTATAAATTATAAAGTGTAATTATGGCAGTATGTAATCTTCTTTCAAAAATGTTTAGAGCATTTAAGAGGACGCCACACCCACATGTGTTGTCTCCGTCTTACAAATGTACAACATAGCAAAAACTCTTTTGCGAGGGACAACTTTTCTCGCACCATATTTGTTGTAGAACTACCAAATTTTCACAGCACTTAAAGAAGAACTTTATCTGTGCATCAGCGTGCTTTTTTTTCAATAACATATATACAATACAAGTTATTTGCTTCTAAACATTTGGTTTTTTAATTTGCTTATAAAAAATGATTGGATGGTGCTATTGAAAAAAAAGAGCACGCTGTTGCACAGATAAAGTTCTTCTTTAAGTGCTGTGAAAATTTGGTAGTTCTACAACAAATATGGTGCGAGAAAAGTTGTCCCTCGCAAAAGAGTTTTTGCTATGTTGTACATTAGTAAGACGGAGACAACACATGCGGGTGTGGCGTCCTCTTAATATTTTATCCCAAGCCTTGCTCATAACCACAGCTTCTTCAATACCAAGCTTATTAACAATTTTCACAGTTCTTAAACCTGATTTTGGAATGAAATGAAATGATTTAGCCTTATCTCAATCAGGTCTTGCCAAACAGTCATTATCACAACAATTAGAGCTACTAATTGTATTTGATTATACACAGTTCAATGTAGTAATGTATTTTGTATTACTTAAGAGGATGTCAGTGATGTCACACCCGCATGTGTTGTCTCAGTCTTACAAATGTACAACATAGCAAAAACTATTTTGCCCGGGACAACTTTTCTCGCAATTTATTTGTTGTATATCTACCAAATTTTTACAACACATAAAGAAGAACTTTATCTGTGCAACACCGTGGTTTTTTTGTAATAGCACTACCCAATCATTTTTTATAAGCAAATGAAAAAAAAATAAAAAAACAAAATGTTTATAAGCAAATAACTTTTATTGTATTTATGGTATCTAAAATCTAGTTGTTGCATAGATAATTTTCTACAATATATTTTCAGAAATTTTGGAGCCACTACTACAAACATAGAAAGATAAAAGTTGTCCCGCCCAAAAAATATTTTGCTATGTTGTACATTGTAAGACGGAGACAACAATGCTGATGTGACGTCCTCTTAATTAAATATAAATTACAATTAACAACACTAGCCACTAGGAGTTTAAAACGTTAAAAAACATATTAACAGTAATAAAAGTAAAATGTGATCACTTATCATTTATGCAGAGTACTTTTTTTATAAATATAATTTCTACTATCCGTGTGTATTGCTTACCAAGAATTGTCCATACCATTTTTAGACAAATATTTTTAAATTAAAAACAAGAAATTGTATATTTGTTTTTTGTATTAACACACCATACAGTGAAAGCTGAATGTGAAATGTGAATACAATGGCATATGCGGTGATACCTGTATGGCCGTGTATCAATTATATTTTGTGCAGTGTACAATAATCTATCTATATATAAAATTAATTGGCGATTTTCAAGCGCTTTTAGGAAAAACATGCATCCACAAACCGTTGACAACCATATTATATAATAAAAGTTAAATATATATATTCGTTATTAGTTAATACTATGATTGACTGTACAATTTAAAAATATATTAAAAATTCCTTTAAAAATATGTATTTATTGTACACACATTTCTTAAAACCGTGCATGTCCTGAACTTTTATGCTGGACAAGCCTCTGCTATGACTTGCTATTAATATTTTAAATAATATTCTTTATTAAAAATAAAAGACAAAATGTTGGACAAATACTTATTTGTATTTGCTAATAGTAAGTAAAAAAAACTATTATTATTCATTCATCCATTTTGTCAACAAAATCGCCCATTGTTTGATCAAATTCAATATTTTCAATATCGTCTATCACCGACGATTCATTTACTTGAGCTGTTAATAGAGCAGTATATTAGGGTCTGACTTTAATTATATTTAAATAAATTTAAGAACTTACAATTATTGATATTAGATTCGATATTGAATCCTTTCAACTTTTGACTTTCTTCAAAGAATTGATTTGGATGGTTGATAGCTGTGCAAGAAGGTGATACACCATTATGTGCTTCAAAATATTTTGTACAAGCAATTTGATAATGTCCATTTTGAGACAGATTTAAAATTTCTTGAATACCTTAATACAACATTGTAGTTTAGTTATTCATTTTTTTTTTTATTATTTTAATATACAGTAATAATATATAATTACAAATACTCATACTTTGAGTTGAAATGTTAGAAGTCTCAAGTAATTGCTTTAATGCTTGACTATTAGTATGTTTATATGGACACCCGTGACATTCATCCAAACCCACTGCACCCATAATTATTTTAATACAGCTGTACGGTGTATAGTTTACTTTCTTTCCTTCTTTGCCATAATTATGTCTTATATTATAGCTATATTGTTTATCAAACTAAATTGAGAAAATAAAAAAAAAAACATTAATAGTCATAAATTAGAGATACAAATCAAGTCATCATTACTTTATCTGCATCCATTTTCTTAGTAAATTCTGATCTCCATAATACCAACGCTTGTTCAAGCGGTAATCCGGCTCCTTTTAAAAATAAACCATACTGTTGACGAGCTTGATGTTTCAAATGATGTTCACTCCTCAAAATTACATGCAACCGTTTCATACATAGAGGAAATGACTTTGAAGACTAATTTTTAACATTTAAAAATAAAAAAGGTTATTTATTTTTAATTAATAGATATTATACATCTTAAGTAAAAGTGTTTCACTACCATGATGATATTTTATTATTATAACGTACATAATACATTATTTATATATATATATCTCAGATGCGTATGTTATCTTACATTTGTTCTATATTACAACATAGGGATAAAAATGTTTGATTACTTTACTAACTTCGGCACTCATTTTTGTAAATTTAGGTTTGATTTTTAATAACTTATGACTTATGAGTTATGAGGAACCTTGTTTTAAAATTTCAAGTTTTATAACTGAGCAATTCTTATTCTAATGAATAGCCCAAAAAGAGAGAAAATATTTTAAACATTTTATGGTGTATAGAAAATATTCTGTAAAAATGTATCTAGTTTTTTTTATTTTGTGTTACAATAAAAAAAAACAAACCCATTTTGTCAAAAACTGGTTAACAAAATTCCTGTTCTTCCATATTTTTTTTTGGCACAATTTATTGCAATTAAATAATCATATTGATGACACAAAATATTTTATGTCAATGTCTAATCATATGACTACGCATATAAACTTTTATCTATAATAAATTACATATAATGCTAGACAAACCTATAGTCTATTCTACGAGAGAATAATCAGTCTGCCGATCGATTCTCATCAGGGCCGCGCATCCCCCACCAACTCCAATGTGTTAACGTGATAAAGTGGTTCTCGAAGCACCAATCGAATCATTTATGATGTGTGAAAAGTGATTATTCTCTCTTCGAATAGACTATATTCAGTATTCATAGGTTAATGAAATCACCCAATTTGGATCCCTTTAACTTAGAATATAAATAAATTGAATCTTATGAGTAATATGTAAATTTATGTAAATTAAACTTCATAATTTATGTAGCACATAAAAATGAAAATAATCTTTCAATAAAACATGACAGTATAACAAATATGAAAATTATATTCCAGTAATGTAGTAACAAAAAGAAAACTAACCTACACTTCAATACAATAACAATACAGAAGTTGTATGATATAAAGGCTAACTTGACAAAATACTTACATGATCAATAGTATTAATAGATAAAGTAGACATGTTTTCTGTAACGGAGTAATTTTTTCCCATATAGGACTGATGCAAATATTTTATAAAAGCACCAAACCGTTCATCTTCACTAATAATACTGAATTTTTGAAAACATTTCTAAAAATATATTAAACAGTTTAACATTTAACTATAGTTAAATTGACAATATTTAATTAAACATAACGTTTTAGTACCTATAATTTATTGTAAAAAATACATAAGTAATTAATGTTAATACCAAAAAACTATAGTAAATAAGAATGTGATATAAGTATGTATATTAAAGACATCGAAGAGTTGTGGGATACTACAAAAGAGACTACTGTAAATTAAGTACAACGGAAAGAAAAGTGCTCAGAAAAATATTTGGCCCAATTTATAATATGGAAATGAGAATGTACGAAGAAGATATAATAATGATTTACAAAATATATGTATGGTTAACCAAATATACTAACGTATAGCAGAAGCAAGAGGATAGAATGGGCTGGATAAAAAAACTATAAAATGAGTCACAGAAGGAAGAATTGTGGAGAACAGACCTCTGGGAAAGCCCCAAACAAGATGGAAGGATGTGTTAGAGAAAGATCTAGCAATGACCCATGAAAATATGCAAATTGACGATGGGAATGATAGGGACCTATGGAATGATATAGTGGTGGCAGCGATGGGTCTACATAGCCCGCTAAGCTGTTAAGAAGAAGATATTAAAGATAATTTATGCAATTTATAATAAGCTTATTATACAGAGATTTCAATATAATATGCTTCTTTATGTAAAATCATGTTAAATTTTAAATAAAAACTTACTACTAATTCTTGAGAAAGTTCTGACCGAAATGTTTGGCAAACACCGGAGAAAACATCTGTTTGTATAACATAAGCAAATCCATCACGGAGGTAAACTTTTCTATTACGAACTAAATCCAAAACTTGTGTCCAGCGGACTTTAAAATACTCATTATTATTTCCAGTTGTAGCCAAGGATCCCATACTATCAGCCATTGTTTGATATTCTTCTTCACTAACCTGCAGATGATTTTTAAGCAATATAAAATAAAATAAATGAATAAAAATAAATCTAGATGATTGTTCGCATAATATAATGTAATATTTAATTGGGAATTTATTTTTTTTATTCAATATAATATATTGTGTTATATTAAATTCACATAAGTTGAGTTCCACAAACATATTAAATAATTTAACATATGCTTAAATATCAGTTTTGTGGATATAAAATAGGGACCCATAATCAACTAATTTCATTTGGTGCATTCATATAAAAATGCAATACATATTGGTATTTCAACAAAAATAATTATTGTTCTTGGTCTATTCAATGGGTATACAATGTTATTTTATTTATTTTCTTATAATGCACATGGTTTTGTTTTCTTAATAAAATTTTTTTTTACAATTGCATTACTTACAGCTGAATAATTAGTGTTGTTCAATGATAAAAATTTTAGTTTATCACTTTTTGAAAGTAGTGACCAACGTAATTTGAATAATTCGATTTCCCTGTTGATGAACCATTTTCGTAACTCGTCACTTTTACAATAAACTAATCGAAGAATGAAATGTGAACATAAATCTCTTTTTCTCACATCACAGTTTTCATTGTAATCCTTATAAATGCCACCGTTTATCTAAGTAAAACAATTTAAGAATATATTAAATTAAATAAGACACTATATCAATAAATTCATATTTTAAAAATAAACAGTTGAAGAATGTAAATGCTAACTAAATTAAAGATATTAGATAGTGATAATCTTTAAGTCACAAATATAAAGTAGGTAAAATTTTAAATCCTCATATTTCCATAATTCTAATATAATGCTAATAATATAATATAATATAATATAATATAGTATAGTAATATAGTAATATAGTAATATAGAATAGTAATATAATATAATATTATGCTTTGAAAATAAAAAAATAAATACCTACACATTTTATTCAGAAATAATATTTTAAACATTGTGTTTTACTCATTATATTTTAAATATGAAACACATACCAATTTATGCATGTGTTTTAATCCTTCTTTCTTTATTTCGTGAACCACAGATTTAGTAAAATCCTCATAATTACTTGTGTTTCCTTTCAAACTCAATTGTTCCAATATTTGTAAAACTAAACAGAATTATAAACAGTTAATGAAGTATAAATGAGTATTTTAAAATCCAGAACAAAACAATATTACCTATATATCTAATTTTTTGTTCTTACCCTTTAGTCTTTCAATGGCCCATTCTTCAAACTCATCCAAATTAATACTGATATCAGGAATTTCACGATACAGTTGTAAATCGTGATTGTAAGAGGGTCTTATGAGTTTTTCTAAAGTTACATTTTTTCTACTTGGCGTAAAATTCATTATCAGTCAGATTTACCTTTCAAAAAAAAAAAAAAAATACATTAATATGAATAATTATTAAAATCATAAGCTTTTACAGTTATTAAGGTGTGAATTAACGGTTCTCAACTGGTTGTACGCAGAAATCTCATAGGTGGTACACGACTAAGGAAAGTTCTATTATCAGGTTGAGGATGTCAGCAAACTATCTACAGATGAAAAGCCATATACTTAGATATTTTATACTTTCTTGTGTTGTATATTTAAAACTTACTTAGTCCCTTCCAAAATATTATTTGTTCTACCTACACTTATTTTGGTTAATTCAAACACTTCATATAGAATGTGATAAAAATGGTGTAGTTCTGGGTAATATATATATAATGTTATTTTAGTCTTCATTTTTTTTTTAAACAAAACTTTACGTAATATCAAAATACACATAAAGTTGATCAACCTTTTGGGTTATGAAATTACTACTTGGCACCTATACATTTTACTAAATATTGTATTAACATGCTAAAAAGAATACAATTATTTAAAATTTATTTTATTAATTACAAGATTAAAGATTTACAGACATCTATGCATCATCAGCACACGTTCAGAGATAAAAGACAATTTAACTTAACTCACGAATAAAACTAAACTAATTTTATTACAAATATATATCTTAAGTTAAACTCACCCTCACAATTTTAAACTGATAACTTTCTTGAATACCTCCAATTATGAAACCAAATATAATGATTTAATTTATTTAAAATATATTCTAAAATAACGATAGTGAAGTAAAATCTATAAAAAAAATCATCTCAATTTCCCCCCAAAAAAAAAAAAAAAAAACGATTTGGTAATGCTCTAAAAACACAGTTTGTGTAGAAGTGTATCCAAATTCCAAGATAATAGAGGATTTAAACCAAGGGCTTTGAACTCATTCAGTAGATGACAATGATCAATTGTATCAGGTGTATCAAATACTTTTCTAAAATCAGTAAACATTACGTGCACATATGAAATAGCATAAATATCAAAGTTTTCTAATAATATGTTAGTTGAGAATACGATGCTAACTGTAACAGTGGACTTTCTTGGTTAAAAGCTGTGTTGTTGATAAATTATTATGTGATTTAGACTTCTCTTAATTTCTTTAATGGTCATATGATCAAAAATCTTTGATAAATGGGTTAGGATGGAAATAGGCATGTAATGAGCAACGTTGGAGGGATCACCCAATTAAGTGATAACTTACAGAATAAATCTTCTAAGTAGGTATCTTGAAAGTACCTATGTAAAAGGACGTAAAGATCGAAAGGTGCAAGTGAAATCTTAAAAACACTGATAATGAATATGTGAACAAATATTACATGAAGTTACACACATAACTACCTACCTACATGAACACTTATCATTATAAATTATAATAAACCAAATTATACTTACAAATCGATTAGCGTGCAAACAATGTATTTGACCGACTTCAGTGTCTGAATGGAATATGAAGGAGTCGAAAGTCTGTACGAACTACGAAGTACGAACAGATTGACAGAATCCGAAATGTATTCCTATTCCAATGTTATCATCAATTTTATTAGGCTAGAGTTTTGTTTTGTTACATTTGGCGGGAAACGACAACACAAAATAACTTATGATAACAAATGCGACATAAATTACAATGACAAAAATGTAAATTACCTCCATAGCTTCATAATCACTCATCACCCATATAATATTATTATAATGTAATAATAATTTTAATAGACATAATAGGCTATTAATTAAACTATTATGGTTAGTTACTATTTTTACTATTTTGTTTAGTTTATGATTTAATTGAATCCAAAAACCGCACAATTTAGAAAAAAACACATGACAGAACTGCACGCTTTTAGTAGGTTAAAACCGTACATTTAATAATAACTTAAAAATGTATATATTTTTAAATATTGAATATATTATTAATTATTAATATATTTATTTAAAAAAATATATATGTAAGAAAGTACTGTCTGCGAAGTAGATGTACCTAATAATTGACTCTATATAAGAATTCATTATTTCTTTTACATACCTACCTTATATTTTAGATTCTGAGTGAACGATGAATGTATTGATTTTACAATGATGTGTGTTTTTTTTTTTTATTTTTTTTTTTTTTTTGTGTCTGTGTACACGATTAGTAGTCGAAATAATGCTTCGATTTCCAACTTTAGTAACTTATTCGATGGGAAAGTGAATCTAGTTAGTACTTTTGGGAGGTCAAAATTTAAAACTCCCAATAGTTTTCACGAGCGACAAGATTAACAAAAAAAAAACTAAGGAAAAACGGGAATTTTTACGCAAAATCGATTTTTCAGAAAATTGAATTTGGTTTTTGGTGTAACTTTAAAACAAATGACCGTAGGTACATGCAATTTTCACTGGTTGTTTATATTTGCATCTTCTATACACGATAACATTTTCAAAATATTTTGATTTATTTTGAACAGTTTAGGGACATTTTCATTTTTAGTTTTTTTTTAGTTTTTTTTCTAGAAATATCAATAAAATTTTATTTGTTGGTTGAAAATTTAATAGAAGGCTCCTAATATATTGTTTCAAAGCCAGATGAAAAATATTAAAAATCCTTAGTCACAATTTTTTTTTATAAGCATTTAAAGTTCACAAATTGACAAAATATGGAAAAATCACGAAAATTATCAAATTATTTTGAGTTAAAAATTCGCAAAAATTTTTCTTTTTAAATCTAAGGTTTTAAAATGTAATACAAGATTCCTCATAAGTTTGTCTACCTTTATCAAAAAAAAAATTTCTATAAGAAATTCAAATTAAATTTTTATGAGCGTTTTGAATTCAAATTTTTACAACATTGGATATTCACTCGATTTATCATGTAGCGATTTCCTTATTTTGTTGTAATTCAAAAACGAATAACTGTAGATACATGAAAATTTCACTGAATGTTTATATTAGCATTTCCTATACACCATACAATTTTGAAAATATTTTGACTCTTTTTGAGCTGTTAATGGACATTGTCAGTTTTCAATTTTTTTTTGTTTTTTTTTTCTATGAATATCAATTAAGTTTTATCTGTTGGGCCAAAAAGTGTAAAAATTTAATACAAGGCTCCTGATATATTGTTACAATATCAGTTGAAAAATATTTAAAATACATAGGCACAATTTTTTTTTATAAGCATTCAAAGATCGAATTTTCACAAAATTTATCAAAATCTCGAAAATTATCAATCATTGTAATTAATTAATTATAACATTTTCAGTTTTTATAGCTAAGAATTGCAAATTGAAAATATATGAACACATATTATATTATATTGTTAAAAAAATTATATATTATAAATAATATTTTGTTTTAAATTACGATAATATATTATGTGTAATTCAAATTAAATAATAACTTTACCTTATATTATATATTATCAAAGGTAAATACTAAACCGCTTATCGTCAAAATGTCACAGAAAACGCAATATTTTATTTCAGGAATTCAATTTTTACAGAATTATACCTACATAAAATATATAGGTACCTATATTTTGTATATTATATTTTTAACTGTATTATTAATTGACGTATCGATCATTATAAATATTTTTATAATTTTTTGAACAATTTAATATAATATATTATATTATAATAGAATATAATATATGTATTTGTCATTAAATATTAATTATAGATACTAATTAACGTTCAAAATATAATTGTTCAACCATTTGCATGTGATTGTCAGTAATATTGTAGCTGGGGATTTTTTCTCCTATGATCGGGGATTTTTTTTCCGGGGTTGTTCGTCGGGGGATTTTTTTTCCGGGGATTTTTTTTCAGGGGGATTTTTTTTCCGATTACGCATTTTCATAGATAGTCATCAATCACAAATTTTCGGATTTTGGCTGCAACTATAGTACAATTCCTAATATTTATTATTTATGTTATTAATTATTATGCCTAATGCGTAATGACCATGATTATAATATAATTAAAAATTCGAACTTGTTGTATTAGCTATTAGGACTTACTACTTAGTACTTAGGTAGACTAATCAAATACAATACCTATTTATTTATTAATTAATACACATTTTCATAGTAAAACTCATATTTTTGTTGAATATTTTTCAACATTTATAGGTAAGTAACAATTATTCCTATCTAGCTACTGGCTACTGCCTATATAAAATAAGATGATAAATAATTATTAATAATAATAAAATATATATTACCTATTGCATATTATTATGTATTATGAATATTAATAAACAATAATTTGAAAAATAAGTTCTCATAAACTGCAAAATGGACGAGTACCTACTTTCAAGGACGCCGCAATTGTTTATCAAACATAAATTAATACATACAACAATTTTTACATACCTACCTACTTAAACTTAACAATATCGTTATCGTACCATACCTAGGTATCTACTAAAAACATGAAATCTAGAAATAACCATTAACCTCTATATAAGCTATTTACTAATATAAGTATGCAAAATACGATTTCAGATTTGGATTATAGCTAATAGACTTCATGAATCAAATGTATTTCACACCTACCAGCTACCTACTTTAATATAATGGTTTACCTATAGGTACCTAATTCATGGTTGCACTAAAAAATTATGCAAAGTCACAAACATCCGGCTATCCGAGTTTAATTTTTTCCCTACCTATAGTACCTATGTATGTTTACAAATATAAATGTAGAGTAAATGATAATGCGTTTTTACGATATATTAGACATAAAGCGTTCGGGGAACTCACATCAGTCACCAGTGGCGTATTCACGAGGGGAGTAAATAAAAATTTATCAAAAAATAAATCTTTTTTTTATCTGTGTAAAATGAAATAATTTATTTTAAAAAATTTTTATACCACATTTAGTATCTACTTGATAAACCCTTTTTATTGAGTTGTCAACCAAGTTTATAGCTATAATTTAGGATAAAAGTTAAAAAATAGAAGTTTTGAGACTATTCACACCGACGTTTTATGTATT